CCAAATACTGTATACACGAGCGAGGCAGGTGCGAGTGCAGTCCTGGGGCGGAGTGAACGAAATCTATAAAACAAAACAATTCTTCGAATTGACTCCCCTTTACTCCTCATAAATACAGTCTAATCAAATCGTCTGCTGCTCTCGCGTAAAAAGTAGACAGGTACTGGAATGTTTCCGAGTCCTAATCTTGGCGGATAAATTTCAGATGAGCGAGACGTGATGCCCACGAACTGAGATCTGATAAACGACTACATATGGTCAATCGCGTAACTCAATATTGGGCTATATGGGCAACATCTATGCACCCCGAGAAACTAAAAGCCATACGTCAAGTACCCATCAACAACCGAGGTAACTGAAACTTCGCTGTTGGAGAAACAATGGAGCACAAATGTAGTACTCCAAATAACGGCAGTTCAGGAATTAAAATCGCACTCGTAATGAGTTACAGGAATCTCTCGACACAGAGACACAAGAGGAAGACCACAGAAGTACTGACTGAACTATTCGAATAAATCAAGTAAATTAAACAATATATGCAAGGAAAGATTATTGATGCAACAGGTATTAACCAATCAGTGTTCATGATCTTCTAGCCACGGCACTCCGGGCTGAACCGAAGCGAATGCTGTTGGTCTAGAGTACCCGATTATTATTGGATATACAGAAACTGTTTCGTGTAGCTCACTGGCTGGCGCTGTTTCGGAGTGCTGGATCACCAAAACAACTCCCTCGGATAATATAGCTAGCCGCAACTCAAATTCGAATCAATGTTTAATCATGAAACTGATATCTGCACTGAAATGCAGATCTCCAAGTTTGGGATCGGGTGATGAAACACAGGCAGCCACCTTGTCCATGGGAGTTATCGAACGCTGATTCCAAATACCTCAGGATGATGAACATGGGCTAACCTTTGGACCTTAGTTGAGCAGTGTTGGCCATTTAGCACTATGGACGTCGCAGCCCTGCTCGAAGGGCATTGGAACTCACTAGCGGATCCAGACCCTAGAGGCCACATACGAACAAACCGCTTGGATCAGCATCCTTGTCCGATGATAGAAAAACTAGACGACACCAAACATAGACGCTTATCAATAAGAATCATTAAAAATATCATTGTTAAAATTTTCACAAAAGGCAATTTTCTTTGTTTATGTTTCAGAAATATAAGTGCACATAATAACAGGTGATAAAGCATCGTTCACATTAACAAAACAAAATGCAATCCAGATTTCAGTCTCTTCCTTGGTTCATAAGTAATGCGAGATGGTTATCCGGCGTGACCTCATAAGCCACGATAAAAGTTTGTTCCCGTTAACAAGTCAGATTTATTCGGTATTAGCAGAGTCTAATTCTAAAAATATTCAATTATTGTTTGGAACCGAAGCAGGGAAACTTTCACTGCTCCAACATTATCCGAGAAATTTACACTGAGATATTTTTATTTCAAACAAAACAGAGCAAAGCATACTTCTAGGTACATCACGATATGTACCAAGAATTAAGGAGAAAATCAGTTCGGGGAAGGAAATATTCACACCATCAATACCCCGGATTGATCTGAACTTCAGACTGAATATGAGATTCATGATGCTCACACAACTTTTTGTTCATTCGTTCGATCATCGAGATTAGTCAGGATAATTCAAAGGAGATCACCCAGTTGCATCGGCAAGACGTACTATGAGGAAGAGTTTCGTGTGTTATTAACGTTCAAGCCAAGTACGTGTTTTGTGATTGAAAACAAACCACCCAACTCTGTCGTCTCAAACACGTTTACCGTGCATGCCTAGCGCTCGATTGACCGCTGATGATTGCCACCACGCCCGCGCGTCATAGGGACTTACTCTACTATTGTCGTGAGGTACTACTCACAATCGTCAGTAGTTTGTACGCACCAAGAAGAGGTTATTGAATTCCCACGGAATTCGCTAGTGGATCAAGGGATTCACTTTTGTAAATACAGAAAATGCGCATTGAATATCGGACTGTTCCTGTAATTATCCTGTGTTTGCAAGAATTCTGAACACTCGTTCCAAATGAGACAGTTTGTCGTATGTATGCCAATTTACCGATACCTTTGCCGTTATTCATAAATAGCTCTCTTTGCCCTGACACTGCCTTATGTATTCATAATACTACGATATCGATCTGCTCCAACCAATCAGACGCTAGCATTGAACTGTGCACTGTTTAACCGCCCCAGTTAACAGCATTCCGATTCCATGTAACACTTGCACCGGTGGTTGGCCTGCTTACTTGTTCTCGCTCCTGCCTCCTCACCGGTCCTCGGACCAGCTACNGTGCATTTGCTACTCATAAACACATCGCCCAAGTTGTCAACTGCTTGTTTATCTACTTAAACGGGACAGGACAGCTACACAGAAAAACATGACAAAAAATAAACAGCCATTGAGGATTGTTATAATCTCTAAGTTCTTTAGATTTTCCTAAGCAGAGTACGTGCATGTAATACTGGGATCAAAAATCGCAGACACAAACGAAGTGGCAATGAGACACGGAAGCTTTTCGATACTGAGATGTACGAATAAAACCAAAGAATGAGGGGTTATATTATTGAAAGAAATAGATGCAATTAAGTACGTAATAACATCACTAGTTGAAGCAACATTGACCAATTGTGATTCATTTTCTTCTTGGCACATTATTCTTGTTCAAACCAGATGGGCTTGACTGATCCAAAGCACGAGCATCTCTTTGGTCGTTCTATAACTATATTTTAGCACTCTCTGGATGGTGTTGCAACAGAGCCTCTCATCACAAAGCACATCAAAACTGTTCTACAACAGCAAGAGCCTTCTAGAATTCACCGTCTATTTCGGGCGCAATGCAATCAATCAGTGTGTACACAGACACGACGCTTCGCTGACACTGACGCTTCGCTATGTACCTGTTGACCCGTAAGAAATCGTCAGAAAGTTTAGCACACATTCGGCTATTGAATAGAATCCAGTCAAAAAATGGGTGATCAGCCTTGAGACTTAGCGTAATTCCGTCACGAGCACCAGGTAACAAATAACCTAACACCCAAAGAATGGAGCGTGAGGATGAGGTTGAATCTGAAGAACGCAGAGTACCAACTGAAATAAGGTCTTATTTCGGCGACAGCATACGCCGATAAGGGTTCTAGCCAAGTCCACTTGTTGGCCAGTCTGATAGAATGTGCGGACAATTAATGCGGCTAAGAGAAAGAGAGATCACGGCTTTATCATTTACATATCTACTGGATGGTTCACCTTACTAGTACAACGTTGAGTGACATCATACGGGTGGTAAACAGGAGTCACCTCGTATGATTTGGGAATGGGGAAAAGCCAAATAGATAACAGGGTTTTACAAACAGGTGCCTGGGACGTTAAAGCACAACATACTTTGTGGGAGCTCACGCCGACGAACGGTTTGTTCTTTGGTAAACCTGACTGGAGTTTTCGACTCGTGGCAGAGGCATACATCCAACGCAGGAGCAACCGAAGCACCCGAGCGCGTGCTACTAGTGACGTATCACGCAAAGCCTTCGGGTTTCCGTTCGGCGCGCTGTTCGCTTATGCTTTGACTGTTGGTTCACCGTTCGGTATCAGCACTTAACCTCATGCATTCAATGAGACAGGNGGCGAAACATCAACGGGACAGTACCTTATCGGTAGGAGCTGCCCGGCGTGGGCGCTCGGTGGCTCTCCAGTGCACTGCGAAGACTTCACCCATCGTCATGAGTAAATTCCAGGTACCCCACTCTCATGTCCATCCATCGGGGTTTTCTTGGCTAGTGAACTGTTCCTCCTCGTGTTTATTTCTTAGAGTGACCTCTTCAGGAGAGAAAGTGGATAATCGAAGAAGGCACGGGTGCTCAATCAGCTGGCCTTGTGAGAGTGAGTTTCTTTTGACCTCTACCTACGGAACTTTCAGGTGATTGGATCTGCGGTTGTGAACAGCCATCCTGTATGGCTTGCAGAATAATGGAAGCACGCTAATCATCACACCACATACGTCAATGCGTAGTTTCCGACGTGATCGCAAATGGGATAGAGAGAAACAACCCGTCGAAAAAAATGGGAAGAGTTTGAACCTTGAACGAAAGATCGAAACCGGGATCCTGATGATGGTATCACGCACATGATCTGCAGTCCAAGTTCTGGGGCCGAAACCATAGCCCCGTCATCCGAATTTCCTACCGTCAGAGTCAATCCTACGGCTACCTAGTTGGGACTCTACATTGTCTGTTACTCGAAGCTTAATCGGTCAGGTTGCCGGTTCCGACAAACAAACAGTCGGTCCTCGTGGCTATGCAAAACACAAAATACCAGTGACGATTATACCAGCGTGCAATTTAAAAAACACTGTCAGATTCATATGGCGCTGACCGCACTTTCTTCAACATAATCGTAAAGTTCACTGAATTTACTTCTATATTCAGCATGATCATGTGTTCACATTTATTGTGATCAAAGAGATAACCGATTTTCGACAACTTAAAAGTTTGAATCCTCCGTCGGAACGGGAAATGTGATTCGCACGAACATCCAGAGAGACGGTGAACACAAGGTAACTTAAAATCACACGTATACATGCGCGTGAGGTGCCGACCGACAATGATCAACCCAAACAATCCGTTTCCATTTCATAAAAGTAAGTTTTATTGATAAGATGATAGATGAGTCAATAAAATAGTTACTAAATATCGATATTGGAGAAAGCATAAAAGGGTGCAAGTAGAACAGGTAAAAAATAAGGGACCAAATCCGTCAATACATGATTCTTGCTAGACCAAATATTTGCATACCACTCATGAAGAAAGCACATTGAAAAGAAAACGCGAACAGGAAGTAAAACGCATTAAGGTTCATTGACCACGTAAAGAGTTCAAACGCCACAACAGTAGGGAACAGATCGCACAATTGCTGTGGTTGGTGCAAAAAGGGAATCACAGATAAGCTGAGAAATGAACATTCACAGCCCATGCGCACTGAGGCATCGTCACATCAGATCTCGTCCAAATCACTGAACGGGAAACGAACACAAGCGATATTTTTAACAGCAGACTCTCCCGCCGAATCATCCGAATAAACACGACGGGTGGTACAAAATGCCACAAAACGACACAATACACGACTCACACGCCACAACAACCACAACGGCCACGCATCGAATGCAGCACACTGACCACAACCCAAACTGGCTGGAGTCAGACAATTGGAAGCCATACTGCTCAATGTGCCCGCATTCAGTGGGCGTGAGTAGCCCAGACACGAACCGTACAGTTCCAAGCGCGAAAGGTAGGCCAACCAATTGTGTAAATAGCACACGCTGAATAGGAGCGATGGCGCGTGGAAATGATTGCGAGGAGTCAGTGAGCTACCACTGAATAGCTGAAATGCGTCCGAAACCGAATACCAGTCTAGACTGCACCAAGTAACCGTCTTTCGTGAGTGATCGGCAAACGCGACAGCACGATTCATGATCGGTGAATACGGAGAGAGGGACTGGCAATATCATTCCGCATTAGGACATCAAAATGGTAGGTAACATGAAAGAAGCGAAGGAAGAAAGACTGATATCAATGGAACGGAACAGGTTATGCACAGCACGTTATTCAATCAATTATCAACTTGCTCTAAACCAACACCAACATAGAAGAGTAACGACTGGCGTCATCTAATTTGATGACATAGGTGTTGTAAGAGATAAATGGAGGCCTCGATTTCGGCAGTTCTATCATTATTAGGCTAATTGACATGACTTATCGTTTGAGTCTTTAGAGGTTTCAAAATTCCTAGGTAGTAGAAAAATTTGCGAGTTACATTCAATACACGCCAGGTTGGATACACAATAAGAATTAAGACATTGTTATACCGTCACCAATTCGAATAGAGAAGTCAGGAACATGGGTCTGCACAACTTATTCATGGTCAATTCGCGGCATTCGTACACGTGCATACTGCAGTCAAGATGATGTTTTATACTCACTGAGATTACAACCGTAAGAGGAAGAGAAGACTGCTAAATACAATGGACAACACGATATAAAAAAAAATCGAAAGAGGATGAGATTCAATCACCAAGGTAAAGCCAATGTGACGAACCACTCACATTGTTGGTCTAGACCGGGTTTGTGGTTATAAATGACTAGAGTATAGAGCCACAGAGAAATTTGCATTATCCACCAATTTCCGGATAAAATTAGCCTTTCCGACTATCAAGCAGTCAAACGTAATGTTGAGCCAACGTCCGTGTCGGCAATTCAATCTTGCAACTCCAACAGTCAATGCGGGTCTGCTGTGAAATAAACTGTTGAACTAAGGCATACATCTATGGGACCCCATTCGTTCCATTCGCTCAATCTGCTAAGAAACATTATCACCAAGAAAGTTTTGATTATTAATGTCTGTGTCGTGTGACCTAACTTAGATGACAGTCAACTTCCCAAGAATGATGTCAAGGAACGGTGCGATAGCACGCCCAATATGTGCACTTCTCAGTATCACTGACGGCTTTAGTAATACTATCATAGTTTTATCAGGTCGTTAACGGGAACTAACAAGTTACTGTTGCTACAATTATTTATCTGAAGTAGCGGTATCGCAGACGCGACCCATTAAGGACCTGAATGCATAGTCCTACTACTGGTGCAAATCACGGTCGATTGCAAGCTAATCGATCCAACCTCGCTTCCAATCACCGCGCGTGAGCAATCGCCAAAAAGACGACTTATACTTACCTAAGACATTTTGAAATTACAGTGTAGGTTCCGAGTCCCCCGTTCATTGTTTATGCAGACCTTACACATACTTCGACATCTACACAGTTAACAGATCACTCTGAAACTTTTCACCATTCCTTCAAATTCGTTAGATTGAAATTTAGGATCGCCCAATTGCTGGTCGTAAACGAATTTTAGTATCGAAAAACGGAACAGAAGAGAGCGGATTGAAATTTCAGGGCTATCAGTACTGACTCATGTTGAAATCGATCAACTGCATGTGCTGCACTGCATGCGAAAAAGTTAATGAGCTCGAACATCTGCTTTGTTATTCAAACCTTGTCATCATCTTCAGGACAACGAACTAGTCAAGTCAAGTCAAGTCAAGTCAAGAAGTGGTCTTAATCCGCCCCATATAGGAGGAAATTTAACTACTACACAATCACTCTGCTGTGGAAATGGTATGGTAAAAATGAAAAGGATGCTGATACCCGGGATATACAAGTAAGGGAAATTTAGTAAAGTTTTTGTTTAAGGGTCTCAATGACAAGGTCGGCGTTAGTAAGAAACAGTGCCAAGTACGGTATTACAGATGTGATGTGATGTGTGCTGCTTTATGCATATACATGGAGGGAATGCTAGATGTAGAGATACATTTACTAAGGTGAGAGTACAGTGGATGAGATGGGTCTAGTAGTATTCTGGTTTAAAATTTCTGGCAAGCCCTAAGTGCTGTGAAATAATAAGCTGCACCACATGTTCGCGAGATACATCGCTGTATCAACATGTGTTCGATGAATGTACAGTACTGTCCGATTGTGATGCACTAAAATATTTTCTTTATGATCAAAGGGAGTTTCATTATATTTATCACCCATATTAATGCTTTAGTTATGGACAATAATTTATATCTTGTCTATTTCGATGTACGTAGTTTCTGGGCTGCATGATTGTCAATTAAACGGGCCTGACCTTGAGTGCCAACAATAAATGATCTGAACATGAGAATCGCAAACTGTATGAAGTATGACAACGCAATACTTTCTAATAAGAATGACTCAAGAATTATCCCAAATTATTTCCGTCAACCCTTGCCATTTCCCTCATTTGTAATGAGGCATTATTTTATCTAATGTATAATCCATTATAGCAACGCTATTGGATAACCAAATGAAATTGAACCATTCCATTTGCTGAGTATAAACGATTCAGGAAAATCACGGACATAAAGACTCTCCAAGACTTTTTTATCATTAGTTTTGAAAACATTTTTCTTCAGTATAAATGCTGTTGCCCATACGAACCGACAAGTGTTTCACAGGGACCTGTGCTTTAGTTTCGATTAGACCTGTACGTATGAGTTTTAAGTCTTTGATTAAAAGAACCGGGAAAATAATTGAGGATGCATAAATCCAGTGGGGGAAGGATACAACAGAAAACAAAACGCTTTATTGAGTGAGTTGGGGTAGATAGCATTTTCAAACGAATAATATTAAACGTGAGTTTTCTGACTCGGTGAAATGTCGACATGGGGCTAAGAAAGATTGCGAAAAATGGTGACTCCAAGATAGTTGACGGAGCATGCTCTGGAAACTTGTTCTCCATTGCATGCACCGCTTGCCTCATTGGGTGCATGAGGCTGAGGGCTGATCTCGAAAAGCGGACCGATAATCAACGCACCAGCGAACAACAAACAACCGAAA